ATCACTCAGCAAGCCACAGCTGACTCCGAGGCTCCAGCTAGCCGTGCTGCTCTGCTCTGTGGCTGATGAAAACATCCTTCTGACAGAAACCAGCTCCGACCCAGCCTTTCCCAAAGCTGCAGTTACAGAGGCACGCCGACCGATCCGTCGCAGCAGCTGCCCTGATAGCCCTCCTGGGACCAAGATCAGCCTGGCTGAGACAGGCAGGACCTGAACGATGGCGTGGGAAGGTCCTGCTGCTCCCCAAACAGCACCAGCAGAAACGCTTCTCACAGAAGATATGCTGCTGCTTTGGACCATCCCTGCTCCTCCTGTGCTTGGGCTCTGCCAGGTCAAAGGGAGCCTGTAGCTGCTGGCAGGATCAACCCTCCCCTCCTCTCCCCACATCCTGCAGTGCAGCAAGTTGCAGAGCTGAGAACCGACAGGGCTCCGGCAGCCCTGCCGCGGCAGAAGAGCTGCCTCTATTAACCAAGTGCTGATGACTCAGGTGGAAAGAGGCTCGGGTGCCCTCCAGAAGAAGTCCTTGCTTGAATTTCATTAACGGCACCCTCCACACACCCCCGACTGCTCTTGATCTTTTGTTGTCATAACAATATCAGTTTAGATGGTCTCATACATATTCCAGACCGCCGCTACTGGCAGAATACACCCTGTTCTCCCCCCAACCTTTGTTAGGGCCATCTGATCTTCTAATGAGATAAATGAGCAAGCCCCTCTCACCAGGAAAACAATTAATCTTTGTCTCCCATGCAGCAAGGGGATTTATCAGTACAGACAGATAGCTGGCTGGGCAGCGGCTGCAGAGAGAGCTGCAGATCTGCTGGGATGCAGCAGGGAGAAAGGGAGCGGCTAACAGGAGCGGCTGCCTGGCTCCTCTCTCCAGCCGGGAAGGACAGATGCCTTCAGAGAGCTGAGCAGCACCTGAGCGATTGCACTTGTCCCGCTCAGAACGTGGGCACGTCTGGGTCTGAGCAGGGACAGGAAACATGGTGAATGACAGCCATGTCACTCAATGCAGGGGACAGGTCAGCTCTGTCCCCCTGCCCTTCTCCAGAGGTCCAGGCCTCCCATCTTTTGCTCCTGCAGAGCTGCTTGGCTCCAGCCTCAAAAGAGGAGCAGAGCAAAGGCCCCCAAAGCCTCAGCACAGCCCCAAGCACTTCACATGGGCAGGTGCTGCCACGCACCCACGCCACATCCCACCCAGCCAGGGTCGGGCTGATTTCCAGTCCTGATCCTGCAGCTAGAGAAGGTAAGACGGGCCCAGCTCTCACCCTGTAGGCAGCTGACGGCGATCTCCCAGACAGGCTCTGCTCCAGCCAAAGGAGCACTTAACTGTACTCGCTCATTAATGGCTGCATGCAGCAGCAAACTACTGGAGTTCTCAAGCCAAGATGCCTGTAGACTGCACTCCCATTCTTAAGAAAGCCTGGCCACATGGCGTAGTAAATGCAGCATCGGAGTCCTGGATGCTTCTGCCCTGCCCTTTCTGCCCTGCCCGTTTCCCTCCCCCTGGTCAGCCACACGGGCCACGCAGATCCACTGGGCTCTCACCTGGTGAACTGGGAAGTGAGAGACGTAGGCTGCTGGATCCGGGGACCGTGAGGCTTTGGCGATTTCCATACAGCACGCCAAGGCTTGCCAGGGTTCATCGGTGTTCATCCACCACTTCCTGCCCTGGGAAAACAAAAGCACAGTCTGGTAGGAGCGGGCAGGGCTCTTGCGGCACCCCAAAGCAAAGGCAGGAGCCCCTGCGCTCTCGGGATATACTGGGCAAGGCACCTCCTCCCACCGTGCTCCATTTCCCTAATCTTTCGTCACATTTTCAGATAGAAATGTATTATTTAGGAAGCTCTGCAACACTTTGTTTCCCTTTTTCCTCTCAAAGCGCTATCTTTCAAAATGTTTTTGTTTCAAAATTGATTTGATTTCCATTTTATTTTACTTTCTAGAAGCTATGCTAAATAAGAGGAACGGTTAAGTCTCCTCTGAAATTAAAGACAACACCGAGCTCTTTCTTGCTTAGCGAATTTGGACAATTGCTATTTGGACTCAAACACAGAGGAATTTTCCTGCTTTTCAATTTGGTCACTGAAGGAGAACCTGCCTGGGGCTAGCTGCAGGCTCCCAGAGGCCACACCATTCCCCCCGCCCCGGTTTGGGGTCCCACCACTCCACCCCAAGAGCAAGCAGAGCCCTGCCAGCCGTTTCCCAGCTACCGTGAGCGGGTGGTCGGCTGAGTCCAGAATCTCCTCCATGATTTCATTGGCATACTCCAGCCGCTCCTGCAAGGCGTTCTTCTTCTTCAGCCCCGTGAGGTTAATGAGGTGGATCTTCAGCCAGTCAAGGCCCTTGGGCCCCAGTGGCCTTCCCTCTGCGAAAAGCAGGATGGCCCGGGTGACATCGTTACCGAGGTGGTTGAAATAAGGTGGGCAAGGGTAAGTCCTGCCTCGGAAGTCCATGTTGTGAGGAAACCAGAACACCTTGTCCCTGACGTAGTTGGCAATGGAGAGCTTATAGAGGGCATCCATGCGCAAGCTGTGCATTTCAGCTGTCTTCTTCTTGCACAGCAACAACTCATGCTTCTGGGACTTGTTCCAGGTAGAGGAATTGCTGGGAGCAGCAGAAGGCCTGGGGGCCTCAGAGATGGGCGGTGGGATGTCCAGCTTCTCATTGCCTTTGTCATTGAAGATGGAGATGATGATATCCAGCACTGGCTGGTTAATCTTCCAGGCACAGTTGCCCAGCTGGTTCAGGGCATCCAGCACGGGGTGGAGGTTCACCAGAGGACACTGCTCCAGGAGCAGCTGGTGCTGGACGGCCCCATCCACAAAGCGCATCAACTTGGTGTCATTCAGGACAAAGGCACCAAAATGGGGGGAGGTCCAGGGTACTGGGGGACACAGCATAGGTAGGGCAGAGGAGTTAAAGGTCAGCAAGGTCTCTGCGGCATCGGACACAATCTGGGAGAAGATGGGATGGGGCTTTACCAGCCCAACCTGGAGAGAAGAATCAGAGAGGTGAAGGTCAGCAGTAAGGGATTAGGGCTAGAGTCTGGAAGAACATGTGGTCAGCCACTACATAAGGATCATGCCAAGAACTGACACCGTCGGCACAGAACCGGAGGATCCTCTAAGTGTCCCTGAGCAGGAAAGGCAGCAGGGAGGGAAAGGCTTGGTTCCGATGAAGAGGTGACCTGCACAGTCCCAGAGCCCCCAAGAGAAGGCTCACCTGCCAGCTGCTGCGGAAGGAGTAGATGTGGTAGAGGACGGGGATAAGCTTGGGCTCCAGGCGAGGATTGAGGATGTTCCTGGGCACCTTCACAGCATGCACCAAGAGTTCCAGCATGTGCATGCCCAGGCGCATGAGGAGCATGTACGGCCAGCTGCAGTCCTTCAAGTTCAGGGAAGGCCCAAAGCCTGCTTCTCCCACCAGCTTCTCCCAATATTCCCGTGGCAAGTACTCGTTAGGCTGGGAGGTAGAAGGAGAAAATCGGGTCAGCTGGAGGAGCCACAGCCACGCTGCTACCAGGGGGTTTGCTGGATGGGATCTATGTACCTGGAACATGGCTCAGAGAAGGACCCTCCTGTCTCTGTGTCCCTGACAGGGGTATGTGGGGAAGGACTGCTGACGTGGCTGAGGCCAGCCCAACAGCAAGAACCTGCTTCTGCTGCAGGCCAGGACAGCAGCGCTGCAAAGCCCTTCCTCTCGCCACATCCCTGTGCTGACACCCTGCCCCCGCACCATCCTGAGCCTCCTTCCCAGACTGCAGATCTGCCTCCCCGCCATGCCACACACACAGCTCTGCAAACGACCTGCTCACCCGGCCCTCAAGCTGCCCAGGTCGGTGGCCTTGGCCCCTTTCTCCCCTCCCGTCCTGCCCTGCAAAGCGCACCCTCCTCAAGCCCCAGAGCTCTCCTGCATGGGATGCCTGGCTCCAAGGGATCAACTCTGCCGATTTAAAACCTTCAGAAATACCCACTGCCACACCTGAACTGACCTGCCTGTTGCCATGGGGCAGGGGGCCTGCCACGCGCTAGATGGGGCCTTCCTGGTTCTGGTGGCCTCTGCAGCAGCAGGTTCCCAAAACCTGGTGCTTGCGAGAAGGTGGACAGACAAACTGCCTTGCCTCATCTCCGCTCTGCTGCTCGGTAACCCGCAGGCCCCAGGACCCCCCTCTCCCAGGCGTACCCACCTGGCTGTCCTTTGCCAGCAGGTGGATGTAGTCCTCATAGACCTTCTGCACCTTCTCCAGCTGGCGGCTGCGCAGCTTCCTCTGGGTGATGTATCGGTTGTAGACTTTGGAGCCCAGCTCCCTGGCTAAGACAGCCAGGGATTCTCCTTGTGGAGAGAGGGTGTTGAGGATCTGAGAAAGGGGAAGGCAAAGAGGGTCTTAAGGAGGGAGGAACAGAAAGACGGAGCAGAGAGACAAAGCAGGAGTTAAAGCCCCTGTGTGGGGAGCATAGAAAGATAGTGATTCCCACAATGCTGAGCAGATGATGAGGAAGGAAACACGGCCAGGACAGAGCAGGGGCTTCTCTGGCTGCTCAGCACAGGGAGCAGACAGCGCCTGCACCTAATAACCTGGGCAAACTTTGAGGCTTATGCTCTGATCCTGCTGGCCCGAGCAGGACATCAGTGCTTTGCAGCAGCCCTGTGGCCATCTGGGCGGCCCTGTTCCTGTGGCTCTGCAAGGACAGGGTCCTACCTGCAGCATGATGTCCACGTACTCCTCATCTGGCAGCAGGCACAGGTAGGGGTAGAGAATGTTGTACCCTGACACTGTCTTGAGCTTGGACATGCTGTGCTTCGACTTCTGCAGGGCCTGGAGAATGGAGTCATGCCACCGGGAACGAAGAGTGGCCAGCAGTTTGCGCTACACAGAAATGGAAGACAGTAATGCTGCAGTGAGAGTGTGTCACGAGGGAGCTGCCCCCCTCTTTAGGCCACCGACCCCTGCATCTCTCCCACAGGTCCCGAGGGCTGAACTGCCCCCCTTCCCTCCAGACGTGCAGCCCCCAGACTCCCTGAGCTTTACCGCTTTAATGGCTTGCGGGGTCAGAGGTTTGGTTGACTCTACTGACTCGATGGTTACAGTGTTGTCCAGCTCCATCTCCAGCTGCTGCTGAAAGCGCTCCTGCAGCTCCTGCACAGAGAAATCCAGCTTGGGATATGACACCATCTTCTCCTGCAAGAAGAGCGAGACATGAAGTGCCAAAAGCCAGAGGAAGAGAAGACACGCTCATTGTCCCAGCTTCCTTGCAAGAGGCACGTGGTATGAGTCCCTGCTGAAGGCACCTTTCTGGGACCTCCGAGTCTAGAGGTCTGAGGTATCTGGCTGGCAAATCGCAGGGAGTCTGGAGTAACAGGCCTCTCCAGAGGCTGCTCTGTTCCTGTGTCATGGTCAAGCATCCCCCCAGGCACCCCCTCCAGCATATGGAGGTCATCTCCAGCCCCCCCATGCCAGCCCTCGGCTTCTCTGTTCCTCTGTAAGGCTGTTGGTAAGGCTATTCACTTCCTCAGAACAAGGAGCTGCTTGATGATTCGTGTGGGCTATTGAGCAGAGATCGGGCTAAAAAGTTCTTCCCATATTACAGTCCTAGGCTGGACCTGAGGACACCTGTGACCACCGTTTGGCCAGCTCCAATACATCTCCAAGCTGCAGAGACATCCCTGAGCTCTGTGGCTTACTTCGGAGTAGAAGTCCTGGAGCAGAGAAGTCTTGCAGGTCTGGGGGTTGGGTGGAGGGGGCAGCTGGTAGTCGGGCTGGACAATCCTGATGGCCCTTAGCACCTTCTCCTTCTCATCTTCCTCAAACAGGCACTTTTGGAAGAGGTCATCCACATGGAAGCCATCGTTCTTCAGCTGCTGCACACATCTGAAGAGGGGCAGATAAGATAGGCTTAATCTTTCACAGGGGACTCTGTGCATTGGACAGAAGTCAGCACACAATGAGGCAGGGAACAAAGTTCTTAAACAGAAGAGGAGCATGGAGAAGAGGAGACCGATGGGAGTGACCGCTTTTGACGATCCAAGAGCCTTGACTGTATCAGGCTTTTCCTTCCTCACTTGTGCCCTCAACAGCATCACCCGGACCCACGTGAGACACACCACAGGACAAAGAGCCACCCCTCCCAAATCCCTGGCAGCCACAAAAGCAAAACCTTCTCCCAAAGCAGGGCTTGGGGGCTGGCACCCACCAAGAATCAGCTGTGAGCACAGGGCAGGAGACTGATACACAGCTCCAGGTGGGCTGGTGGGGCCTCCCCTTGCCGGGTGGTTCCCAGCGGCTTTCCTCTGTGCCACCCTTCATGCCAGGGCAGCTGCAGGAGGATGCAACCTCTCACACTCGTTGGAAAGGCTCTGACAGCCCTGGGGAGCAGGATGTGCCCCATGCACTTGCCCTCTCTTCCCCTCTCTTGCGTGCTTTTCAAAGCACGCTCCACGCAGCAACCGCTGAAAGCCTTGCAGCCACTTGTGCCTGAGCTTGCCGATGTCTGCCCAGCCCCAGACGGGGAAAGAACAGTGCAGAAATGGGCATAACCGGGAAACCCACAGAAGGCAGATGCCTCAGTCCACGAAGAGCATGACTGTCGGGCAGCCTGGCAGCAGGACCTGTCCTGTGGGAAGACGGGAGCTCTCCCTGCCCTCCGCACACAGCCAAGAGACAGCTCTCAGGGCTGCAGGAGCTGCTGGGGTGGGAGCTGCCTCCAGAGCACAGCCCGTCCCAACAAGGTCACCCGCCTCAGGTTACAGCGATCAATTATCCACCCCTCCAGCCTGCACCTCTGCTGAGCAGGCAGCTTTCACCTTCACACTCGGGTGGGGAGACTGAGCAAAAAGATGCAGGTTTCTTCACCCTCACATAACCCTGCTCTCCCCTCCAGCCCGAGGCAGCAGAAGGGAACCCACAGAGCTGGTCACAGCTTGGGCAAAGGGGCAGGGGACTGCGGTTCATGCACCAAGCCTGGGAGCCAGGGCACAGGCGCATGGCTCACAGGGCTGCAGCAGGAACAGCCTGAGCACCAGGAGCGGCCACAGCGCCTGCGAGGAAGCTCTCTTCCCTGCAGCCCCCATCGCTGCCGGGGACCAGAATCCCCTGCACACACCAAGATCTCCCACTCCGCAGTCCCACAAAGGATGCTGCGGGACTGCGTCCTCCTGGCTCTGCCGGGCTGGAGCCAGGATCCAAGGCGCAGAAGAGCCCAGAGCCCCACCTGCCGACTGGCCTGGCCAGCGCCGGTGACACTGGAAGGAGGACAGGCAGACCTAGGTGACAGCGGTGACAGCCAGGCCCCAGCCCAGGCCCCCATCAGCCACAGAAAGCAAAATGGGCAGGAGGGAGCCCCGGCAGCTTTGGGAAAGCATTAAGAGCCCAAGAGGTGACAAACAGCACCCTGAGCCAGAACTGCAACACGCTGTGAATCCTGCTGCTGCGTGCGTCCCAGCTGCATTTCGGTACATTTGGGAGCAGGCAGGAGCTTCAGTGAGGAACAGCTCTACATCTCTGCAGACCTACTCTCCCAAAAAACTACCCCACAGCAGCCTAGTTAAAACAAGCAGCTCCCACCTTACACCCTCAAAGGGACCCTGCAGTCTGGGAGCAGAGTGAGAAACAACCCCCATCTTGCACGCTCCCGGCACAGGCTCAGCGCTCCAGACCAAGCTGCTGCCGTGTCCAACTGGGAGAGCGTGTTTAGGAGAGGAAGGGAAACAAGAGCCCGTACCCACACACACAGCGCCAGCAAACAGGAACAGTCGTGGGGAAACACACACACGCCCTGGCGAGGCTTGGGGTTGACAAATCCGTGCAGGTGTGCTATAAACATCTGCCTATAGACAGCCCTACAGGTGTACTGCTGTATTGACGCAACACCCACACACCCAGGCACAAAGTCAATGCCAGTCACTTCTAAATCAGCTGACTGGAAGACATTCACTCAGAGGCATCTAGAACTTGTTTGCCAGCCAAGGGACACACAAGGCCAGTGATAAATGCCTGAACCACCCAAGGGTGTTTGTGCAGCATTAGCAGATCACCAGAAAGCTTTCTCCGTCCTCTGGCAAGGCAGTTGGCTGTGCTACCAGACCCAAGCACTGCCCCTAGACCCAGCCTGCCAGGATCTCACAGCGCTCTTTCAGCTCCTCGCTTTGGCTCTGACACTTATTCTGCCCATTACGCTCCATGAAATCCATCTGAATCTCCTGATCACACTCCTCCAGAGAGCTGGCACCCTGCAAAAACCAGCTGTTTGGCTGAGCCTACCAGGAAGAGCAAACTCCATGGGGGTGCTGTAAAAATGAATGGAGGAGCCATTCCTACTGGGCAGTGACACAGGGAGAGAGATGCCCAGGATGGGTGCAGAACCAAGGAGCACCTGACTGGAGAGAGGCCGCTCCCAGCCCAGGGAGCTGCTCTGGGGGGAGCAGACACAGCTCTGGCGAGAAGCAAGGTTGTTCTCACCTCCTACATCTCCCTTCCCCTGCAAGATCTCAGACAAACTGCCTAGCAGCTGGGGGTGGCAAGGGGGGCCCACTGTGGGAGCTCTGCCCGCCCCTAAATCTGGCCACGAGAAGTGGGTCAGAGCATCTACACGTACACACAGCAGGGGCAGGTCTTCCCAACCCCAGGCCAGTGCATCTCCTCCCCAGAGCGAGCTCCCAGTTCTCCCAGCACAGCGAAGCAGCAGGCTGTGGAGATGCTGCCCCGGGGCTCGGCGGCACCCTGCGGCAGGTGAAGTGCGTTACCTCCAGATGGCTTTGGTGGACGACTGGTTCCGGCCCATGCACTCCAGCGCTGCCGCGTAGGAGTCCAGGCTGGGCCGGAGGCCGACGGACTCCAGCATGGAAAACAGCCGGTTGATGCGCTGCAAGTGGCCCTGCGGATGGAAGGGAGCTGTGGACACAGAAACCAGCAGCCCCAAATCACAGCTTCACACCCCTCTGCTCGTGTTCAAATTTAGCCACCTCTATCCTGCCCCATCCCCTTCTTCCCCTCAAAGCCACCTCACAGGGATCAGTGGTCTGATTCAGTGGCCTCCTACCAGCTCCATCCCTCTCAGCAGAAGCCAAGCCCTCCTTCAATGCTTGCGGAAGGCAGATGTGACAAACACAGATAAAACTGCTTCTACAAGTGTGAGGCTCTTCCTCCTAAGCCAGTCCCCCTCTTGCCCTCAGCTTCCCAGAAAACCTGACAGCCAGACAGGGCAGCAGCCCGCGGCTCAGTACCTTTCTTGCCCAGCTACGCATCACGATGTTGTACGCATTGACATTCAAAAGCCTTCTCTTCACAGGGGACCTGTGGTACAAGAGAAGGAACCTCTCAGCCTCCTCTGGCTGCTGCAAGAAGAGGAAGCATTCGAGGTTGGACTGGATGGTCTGCTGCAGGATCTTGTACTGGCTGCTGTCCTTGTCCTCCAGCACCCTCCGAGGCCTCTGCGCCTTTGCACCCTCCTTCACTGCTGCCACCCTGGGCTTGCCGTAGGCGTGGTCACCCTGGGGGCCAGCGTGGCTCTGGCTCCAGGCAGCAGCCACTTTAGCCTTTGGGCTCTTCAGGCTTTTCTTGGCTTTAGCTTTGGCCTTGGCCTTGGTCTTGGTCTTCGCCTTGCCCTTTGGTTTGGCCTTGGTCTGGCCCTCCTGAGCCAGCTGGGAGGCAGCGATGGATAACTTCCGCTCCACCTTCAGCTGCCGGATGTACATCTCCTTCTTCAACTTCTCGACCCAGCTGCTGGGCCGGGCCGGGCTCTCATCCCTTCCCCTGGGACCGGGCTGTTCTTCCATGGGGCCGGGAGCCACCGCTTTCTGCAGCGGGTCCTGGTACTTGTCATTTCCCAGCGGGGCCAGCTCCACTTTGTTGACCGTCACCTCTGGGACGTTACTGGCTTGGAGCTGCTTCACTCGAGCTTTCAGCACTGCCAGGAAACACACAGGGAGAGGTGAAGGGATGCAAGGCATGGCAGAATGTTGTGTCCTACCCCAGGGCTTCGCTTTTGGGAGCGCCCAGGAACACGCTCAGGAAAAAAGAGTCTTCCCTCCTTGGCCTTCTTCCCTCCTTGGCCAGCCCTCCTCCCAGCAATCAGCGGCTTTGATCACTGTCTTTCTGGGATCCATCCACATGCTGTGGCCCACCCCAGCATCCTGGGGAACCCAACAATGTCACTGCAAGGGAAAAAGCACCAGCTTATGCTTGTCTGACATGCTGCCGCCTGGTCACTTCACTGGGCCTCTCTCCTAGGACCCCATGTCCTCAGCTCACCCGGGCAGAGAGCCCAGAGCCAGAGCATGTTCCAGGTCAGTCTGCAGGGCCCTTGCACGCCCTGAAGGGACCCTTCTACTGTCCCTTAGGACCACCCTGTGTTTTACAGCAACTCAATGCTCCCTGTGGGTAGGGTGGGCCTCCAGGTCCTTGGGACAGGACAGAACTTGCTCAGGGAGGCCAGCAAATCCATGGGAAGCCCCATATCCTTGTCCAGGCTACAAGTATTTCCAGTCCCAAATATCTTCTTTACAGCTACACAGAATGGGAAGACTCCTAGAAAACCTTCCAGTCACCGAACAAGGGAAACCCCTGCAGCTCTCCCAGCCCTCCCCGACTCACCTTCCAGCAGCTCTGTCCTCTCACAGATGGCACTTCTCCTCGTCTTCTCCTTGGCGCTGGCAGAGGAGTAGTTCCTGAGAACACTCCATGGGATCCCTGCAGCAGAAAGACACAAAGACCAGGAGGTCAGAGCAGGCTTCACCCCTTACACCGCGCATTGCCCCACGCCACGGCTGGGCAGCGGGGAGGGCGCAGAGAGGAGAGGGCGAGCAGCGTTTCTCAGCTCAGTCCCAGCAACCCCAGCAGCAGTGCCAGAGAAGGGCAGGGGGGCAGCTCTGTGCCAGCAAGTGACAGGGACACCCTCCTCGCCCCCTGGCTCCATCTCTTGGAGGGAACACGACCCCAGGGACACCACGAAGCCCAGCTCTGTTGCACAGAGTGGCAAGACCCCCGCAACCCCCAGAGCAGGCACCCTATCCCACAGCAGGGACAGGGCCCCAGAGACCCCCATTTCTATCCTTAGAGAATGACAACGCCCCAGGACACCCACAGCCCCCACCTCTATCCCCAGGGCGGGCTCATGACGCAAAAAGACCCCCATAGCCCCCGGCTCT